TTACCAACATTCTTCAAAATATCTTCTGGAACAGCTTGAGGAATTGATGTAAATGATGATAGAATTTTCATTTTTGAATGAACTATCCCTTTAATAACTAAATTGGTGAAAACTAAAATTGTGTAGCTGTTTTACTCAATCTCTCAAGAATCAGTGCTCCGTGTCTTCAAGGTCAGGAAGCTCCTAGACCATTACCCAAGCATCCTACTGCTATGTACTCCATCTCTCCTGCAGGGCTGTGTATCTGGTAAGGCATAAAGAAACTCGGCAACGTTTTGCGATGAAAAAGATCAACCGACAAAACCTGATTCTGCGGAACCAGATCCAGCAGGTGTTTGTGGAGCGAGACATCCTGACGTTTGCAGAGAATCCCTTTGTGGTCAGCATGTTCTGCTCCTTCGAGACCCGCAGACATCTGTGCATGGTCATGGAGTACGTGGAAGGTAATGGCTAAACTATACTACACAACTTTTGCCTCAACTTTCCCCCGATTTAAAGTCTGGAGAAGCTGATGAAAGTCAGAGCCAGTCTGCAGATTTTAGTTGACCGATTTCATTGAAAATCGTGTTTCTATGACTCTGATTTATTTTAGCTTCAAACTTTGATTCCATCTGGTCGCAGGATATCAAACATGTTTCTGCGTGACTTTGTTGTGATCGGAAGGACTTTAAGTCTGGTAATGTGTGATCCTCAGTCATTTGGTGTATAATGGCCAGTTTTTTCTTTGTGACTATTACAAAGTCAGTAAGTGTATGATGCCTAACGTTTTAAAATTCTGGTTTTAGAATTGTGTAGTGTATTCCAGCTTATAAGGCAACAAAATTCAAACATAACATGTAAACATGTATCTTTTAAATGCATATTGTCATATGAACAGTCAAAGCTCACAAAGAGAACCATTTACTATGGGGGGAGAAATACTTAAAGGTCCCCTGAAGTGCCTTGAAACACGCAGCATTCTATGTGGTGATGTAATTTCAACTGAAACCGGAAGAGAGGGCGGGACATATCGAGCAGCCCCGCCCCCTTTTTTAAAAATAGCTAATAACGTTTTGTTTATATCTGCTAGGGCCAGAGCCGTTGATCTCGGTAAAGCCGCATTTGACAGCCACAGTCTAATAGATTACCTCCTAGATTCAGTATGAAACTCTTAGTAAAACAAAATAGTGGTCATAATCATACTGAGGCTGTGTAGTTGTAAAAGTTTTTAATATATGCCGACTCGCGCATATGATCCGCTCCGTGCGATCGCATCTCTGGACCGGAGCCAAAGTCCGGATCAGACTGTGTGCGCTGCCACTGTTCGCGTGACACAACGTGAAACCAGACCTCATTTGCACCAATCGAAAGCATATTTACACTGTCTGAATCCTTCCCTATTGCCTACATTGTGCACTTCAAGCCATTCACCGTACAGGAAATACTACACTGTGCAGGAAATACTACACTGTGAACAAGTGACCGATCTCAGCCGCTTCAGCGTCTATTTAAAGTGCAGGGGGTGGGCGCTTCGGATTCTAGAGAGCATTTGATTGGTCAGAAGATTTGATGAGAAGATGAAGTACGATGTGACATCAAAAAAATCGTTGAGCCGTTTTGGCGGAAGTGTCGAACTGCAAGCTTTGAATGCTTATATCTTATAAATGCAAATTTTTTCGCTGTTTTGGATCACACTGCCTTATAGATAACCTTAAGACTAACATATTGATACTAACACCCAAAAAACTTTAATTTTGATTTCATGGGGACTTTAAAGGCATTTAAATAGTTTTATTCAGTGACTGCTACTCTGGATGGTCGGTAGAAATAGAAATCTCTTGTAACAATATATACCTCCCTTCCAAAGTTTGTGGACAGTATTACTTTCCTTTTTTGAAAAAAAAAAAAAAAAAAACAATACTTATATTCATCATATATTCATGTGATAAAATGATCAAAAGTGATAGTAAAGGCTTATATTGTTAGAAAAGATTAAATGCTGTTCTTTTTTTATTTTTTATTCATCAAAGAATCCTGAAAAAAAAGCATCACAGATTCCAAAAAATATTAAGCAGCACAACAGTTTCTAACATTGATGATAAATCAATAAATCATTAGACTGATTTCTGAAGAATCATGTGACACTGAAGACTGGAGTAATGGCTGATGAAAATTCAGCTTTGCATCACAGAAATAAATTATATTTTAAAGTATATTAAAATAGAAAAGCATTGTTTTAAATTGCAATATGTCACAATATTACTGTTTTTTGTTAATACATTATAATACTTATCTATTCATTTAGAAAATGTAATGCATTAAAACACATGACAAGCAAACTTTCAAATATTATGATGCATTTTAACTTTGGTTACCATTATTTATGGAAAGATATAATGCATTACAATGTACATTATGAATAACTTTATTATGTATCATACATAGAGGCTTTCAGTAAAGTGTTACCATTGCAATTTGTTTAGATTTAATTCATAAATTATTAATAATACATGTGTATATATATAATGTATATGTATGTACCATGTATAAATATGTCTGGGCTGATATGATCTCCAGGTGGTGACTGTGCCACTCTGCTAAAGAACATGGGCCCACTTCCTGTGGATATGACCAGGATGTACTTTGCGGAGACGGTTCTAGCGCTGGAGTACCTCCACAGTTATGGCATTGTGCACAGAGATCTCAAACCAGACAAGTTAGAAAATAACTGCAGACCTCATTTATGCAACTGTATGTCAGTGTAACTGTTGTTAACCAGTTCTGTTAACCCTTCGCAGCCTCTTGATTACTTCAATGGGACATATTAAACTCACTGACTTCGGGCTCTCCAAAATCGGCCTCATGAACATGACAACCAGTCTGTACGAGGGCCACATTGAGAAAGACACTAGGGAGTTTATCGATAAGCAGGTGGGCAAGAACATAATACTCAATCTATGGCAATTTTCAAGACACTTTATTGATATTAATATAGAATCAGTCTTTGTTTCGCATTGTTTTATTTGTTGTATTCATAGGTTTGTGGCACCCCGGAGTACATTGCTCCAGAAGTGATCTTGCGGCAGGGCTACGGGAAGCCTGTCGACTGGTGGGCCATGGGCGTCATCCTGTACGAGTTTCTTTTGGGATGTGTGCCGTTTTTCGGAGACACACCGGAAGAGCTTTTTGGACAGGTTGTGAGTGGTGAGTTCAGATGAACTGCCCTGTCAGCTGGCAGGACACAGATGCCATTAAAGGATCAGGAAGCTTCACCAACTGGTTTAAAATGAAACTGCCGTAAAAGGATTTGATACACTGTGTTCCTTATGCAGATGAGATTATCTGGCCAGATGGAGATGAAGCCCTTCCTGTAGACGCCCAGGACTTGATCACACGATTACTGAACCAAAACCCACAGGAGAGGCTTGGAAGAGGTGCTTTGACATTCATATGTAGCCGATAGGAATTGTTAAAAATCCTCTTTAGCATAATTGTTACCTAGGTATTGTTAGCTCGTTTTTTTTTCCAAGGGTTCATAAGAGTGTTTTAAAAAGAGCATATATTGAAACAAAGCTGATAAAACATGTCATTCTGAACTTCAACAACTGATTCAACAAATTTATCTAGCTGTTTTTAATTTAGATTTTTTATAAATTACATATAATACATTTTTGAATTTAAATATTTTTTGAATTTTGTAAATTATATAATTCGATTTTTGATATTTTTATATATATTTTTGACATTTTTATAATATATATATATATAGAACACATATTTCGCGCATTTTCCAGAGGGACATCTATCAGCGTTGCACTCGCATCTCGCACAAGAGAGCCGCCGCATGTTTAGAAAGCCATGTAAAATTAATGTAGGTTTAATTTAAAAAAAAAACATATATCGAGACTTTATGGCGGGTTTTTTCCCCATCCCACTGCAACTCGTGTTTTTAAATGAAAAATGTACTCTGTGTGATTGGCTTTCGGCTCTTTGTATTAAACTATGCATACATACATGATGCTGTTTTGTTTATAGTTGTTTAAGCAACTTAATTATATATGGTTTATAAACATTATACACTTTTTTTCACAGATAGTCAGTCATGTTATCTTACTGAATAAATGTGCATTAGTAATATTTTGCTCGATGTGCCCTCTTGTGGCCTCAGAAGAGAAGCCAAAAGCTTTTCTTCACCCTAACTGAAATTATGCATTTTAAATTAGAATATAATTGATTTAATTCTAATTTAGTTTTTCAGCCATTTTGACAGCCCTAGAAAATGCATGATATGACTCATTTAAGTTCAAAATAAATGTTTAGAATTAGATGTACTGCAAAAGTCATTCAGACAAGAGTTTTATGTAGAGCTGTGGTCAGATTTGATGAATTCACATGTGTTTGTAGGTGGGGCTCCAGAAGTAAAGCAGCATATGTTCTTCAGTGGTCTGGACTGGAACGGACTCCTGCGTCAAAAAGCTGAGTTCATCCCTCAGCTGGAGGCCGACGACGACACTAGTTATTTTGACAGTGAGTCTCACTAATTCAGCACAGGGAGGAGATTCTGTGAGCTTCATAAATGCCTGGAGCGAAGCGCTCTATAAATGTCAGCTCATTCTTGCGGCTTACGCACTGAGATGCAGTTATTATGTCTTCATTGTACTTACCTATTACTCCCTAAATCCTTTTTGTTTGTTTTTTCCCCGTGTAGCTCGATCTGAACGCTACCATCATTTGGCCTCTGATGAAGATGATGAAACTAATGATGAAGAGTCTTCCCTAGAAATACGACGGTTTTCCTCTTGGTCAAATCGTTTCAGCAAGGTTGGGTCCTTCTGCTGTCTGCACACTTTTATAATAATTTTTTAGTTAATTTTTTTTTATTTAGTTTAATTTTTGGCAATTTTTTCTCTCTCTGACATTTCTTATCCACAATTTTGTAGGTGTACAGCAGCACAGAGCACCTGGCCACCCCATCCAACCTGAGTTTCTCCTCTGACCGCAGTCACAGTGAAGAGATAGAGGACCGGGCGGACGGGAGGGACACTCACTCACATGGAGAGATCCAGCGGCAGGCCTCCACTGGAGACAAGAGGCTCTCGGCTCAGAGGGCAAGGTGTGAATAGAGGAATAAAGAAATCCGTTCACTCAAAAACCAAAATTCTGTCACCGCTGACGTGTCATTACAGTCGAATAGAACATGTTATATACAATACAGAAAATTAGAAAACTACTTTTTTAGTAAAATGTTACAATCAGTGGTTATTTAATATCACTATTGGTACTATTTTAGTTTTTATTAATATTTTTAATTAATTTTAATTTATTTCTAAAGTATTGGGTTTTGTGATTTTTATTATAAAAATAAATGTTAGAATATGCACTAGTCAAACTTACATTGTAGATACTTTCTGTATGAATAATTACTACAAAAAATTGCATTACAGATATCTGGTATTTTGACTAGGCAAAATGTAATATTTAAGTTATCTGTAAGGCGCTTTTGACTAGTAATAAGTTAACAGCAGGTATCTAAAATATAATTTTGTCTAAAAATGTAATTTTTATTATTGGTAATTCTGCGACTTAATTTGGACTAGTTAAAAATGCAATAATTCTTACTGATAAAAATGTAATTGAGTAGTCAAAATAAGATACCTTAGGTCAAATTGCATTTTTACTTTTGGTTTTATGTCGGTATATTAATATTTGTTTATTTATTAATTTTTATTTTTATTCATTTTAGTACAAGTTAAACTAAATGATATGTATATATAATGCATAGATGGATAAATAGTTAGATATAGAAATATAAAATGTATTTCTTTTTTGGTTCACTTTTAATGAAAATGTTTCATATGGTTGCACTTTTATTAAAAAAAAAAAAAACATATAAACATTATACCCAGTCTAGTATTGCATTAGTATGTTAGTATATTGTTTTGATGGTTTTTGGCTCAGTCACAGATGTTATTTTCCAGCACTCTGAATGCGTGTTTGATATCTTCCAGTCTGCGCCCTCGCACTTCTTCCAGCTCTTCTCAGCCTGAGCGAGCTGTGCGCCCCCTAGTGGTGAGCAGCACACACAGCCTGGAGGCCATGCCTCGATTCGCCCTCTCCACAGACGACGAGGGTAAGCTGACACTGAGAATGTGCCACATTTTATGAGATTTCGGTCATCAAATTTTTTGGCCATCACAAATTTTCAAAATGAATGTTTTGCCTCACCTGCCAGTGGGCAACTTGACAGCATCCATGAAACTATGTTTTGTCAAAAAAAAATAAATCAGGCATTTGTCAGTATAGACCTTTTCCTGAGTAAACAATGAGCACCACAATTACGAATTGAAATAGTGCCCATCTGTTTTTAATGTAGCTAACGTCGGCAGCTTCGTGTCATCTACACACTCATTAAACTTTGAGGAGCGAGGCACTGACAAACAACGGTCATTGTGACAATGTAAAGTGATGGCGCTATGGAGCCATGTGCTTTTTTAAAACCCTTTAATAGGTTTAACATTAGATTATCAACTCGAAATATATGCTAATTTGACTTGAAACACTGGAGACTGGAAATGCAAAGCATCCTTCCGGTTAAGAGTCATACGTGACCTCCGCATTCAGGAAAAATGTCTGTAACAGTGGAATTAACACAATTAAACAGTTGTTTTTTATTATTTTAATTTTTAGAATTATATTTTAGGGCTGAACTGTGAATCATAATTTTAATCATGATTTCTGCTTCTCTCAATTTATTAAGCATAATTGTTATTTATCCTGAAAATTTTCGTTTTAATTTGCCATTTGTGTAATTTTACAAGCTTTTATGGTTAAATATTTCAATAGTTGAAATCTCCCATAAAATCCCCCATTTTTCATAAATGGATACTTTTTTGCCCAGTGATTATACATAATCTTCCCAACCTGGCAACCATGCGCACACGCTCTCTCTATATTATTGAAAAAGCATTAATGAGCTGAAAATACCGGCAAACATTTGCCAGTCTGTTTTCTTTCATGAGGTCATTTGCGTTGTTTGCTGCGACTAAATCTGCGAGCAAACCATGTGAGTTGACCTTCTCTTGTTTTGTGCTTATGTGAAAGTGCAATAATTCTGTTGAAATGGAAAAAAATAAGAATGGACAACAATCATGATTAATATTCGTGATTTTATGTTTTTAAGCAAAATAATTGATTAAATGTTTAACCATCATCTTGTAGACCTATAATATATAATTTTTTAATGTTACTTTTTGAATTTGAATTCAAGTGTTTTTTTTATGCTTTATTGCCACATTGCAGTGTTTTCTACCGTATGTATTTTCTACCGTACACAAAGTTTTGAGTTGAAGGGTTTGAGTCTGATCTCTCATGTTTCAATCATGTTGTTCCCTTACATCCTATTTGTCTTTCTATAAAATCTCACTTCAAAGAAAATCTCTCACTATATTTGCATATTTATACAGAATTGTATAGCAATGTTCAAATGAATGTCCACCTAAATACAATCACGTTATGCTACATTCACAAGGGTGGAGGAGTGCTTTGATGCAAACCTTTTTTGTGCAGCTGAAGTTGCCGTATCCAACCTGCGACGAATCAGACTACGTAGCAACAGCACAGGAACGAAACACTCGTCACCAAGGGAACAAGGGAGTCCTCAGTGCTTTGGAAACCAGCTGGAGACACCTGACAGGCAGCGGCTCTCACCAGGACGCAAAGTTCCCAAGTCTGCATCAGTGTCTACGCTCTCGCTCATCATCACACCAGGTCAGACCCCACAGTCACCACTGCAGTGTTACAAAATATTGCTCCTCCTCATATCTAGAGAGTGATCAGGGTAGGGTAGATTACTTACAAATTGTAGTGTTACTGATTACAAATCGCATAATGAAAATTGTACTTAGTAATGTAATCTATTAGATTCACTCATTTTTAGCTATCTAATTTGACTACTTTTTTTCTAGTGCTGTCAAAGGATTAATTGCGATTTAATCGCATCCAAAATAAGTTTTTGTTTACATAATGTGTGTGTGCTCTGTATATTTATTATGTATATATAAATACACATGCATGTATATATTTCAGAAAAATGTTATGTTTATATATGAATTATTAATATAAATATTATATTATATAATAATTATATTAATATAAATATATACATGTAAATATTTTCAAAATATTTGTTTTTTTTGTTTTGTTTTTTTTACAAAAATATGAAGTGCATTAAACATCACACTACACCAGGGTTTCCCAAACTGGGGCTAATGAAAAAACTGCAGGGGGTTGATGAAAAGCTAATTATTAATTAAATTATAAATGTGTACAATTTAAATGAACAAACGAGTAAATTATCAAAATCCAATGATTGAACACTCAAAATCAAAATATTTTATTAATTTACTTGCAAATGTGTTATTGATTATTTAAATATTAACTTAAAATCTCGGGTCTTTCCAGGTTTAAAATAATTTTTTACAAACTTCCAGAATCAGTAATTAGTAAATGTCATCGGATATGATGAAGATCAGCAGTTACTAGCTTAATTATTTGTCTCTTACAAGGTGCTTTTGTCCCTAAGTTTAGAAGCATGGATCGCACATTTATTTACATTATATTTATATGGCAATTCTGAATTGTGAATATAGTCAAAGCTAAATAGTATGACACACAGTAGAATTTTTAGAAAAGAAAATGTACAAGAGCAAAATCTGAAAAATCTGTAATCTGATGAGTGTTTTAAATTAGCAATATCACTCGAGTACGAGAGCGATACCGGCTCTATATCAGCATGGCTGTGATTAGGCCAGAGGCACGAGGCCGCAGACAATCACAGCCGCTGATATAGAGCCGGTATCGCTCGAGTACAAGAGTGATATTGCGTTTATACAACAGTTCAATGGAACATGTGTGTAATTAAACAAGAACGGAGTGCCAACCTAAAATAAAACTCCAGAAAGGTGTAAAATGTGACCTTTAATATTGACTAAACATTAAATTCAAATGTCCGTAATTTTTCATATTTGCCATTTATTTAAAATATATTTTTTTAATATTTGGTAATATTTTGACATTTCTTGAATATGTGGACATCAAAACATGCAAAATCAGAGCAAGGGTTTAAACTTTTATTTTGAAGTTTCAATTAACAGTTAGCTTTGTTAAAAAGAAAATGATATATTCTCCTGTATTGGCATAGGCTTATAAATGATTTACCTTCAAATCTGATCGAAAGCTATTCATGGATTCTTGTCTGTGGAATGTGCCATTTCCGGTATTTTGCCGGTTTTTATAATCGATGGAATCATATAACGACATATGCCGTTGCGTTATGGGCGTCCCGAGTTCGAATCCTGGCTCGAGGACCTTTCCCGATCCCACCCCTCTCTCTCCCACTTCGCTTTTTGTAATCTCTACACTGTCCTGTCGTAATAAAGGCAAAATTCCAAAACTAAATCTTAAAATCTATATCATTTTTTAAATTTTTTCCTTTCTTCCTCACCAGATGATGGGAGTGGCAGCCTGCAAGCGCGCTCTATTTCCCCTCGATCGTTTTCCTCTAACCCATCATCCCGAGACTCCTCCCCCAATCGAGACCTGTCACTCAGCATCAGCAGGCTCCGCCCCCCCATCATCATCCACAGCTCTGGGAAGAAATACGGCTTCACCCTGCAGACCATTCGTGTGTACATGGGGACCAGCGACATCTACACCATACACCACATGGTCTCGGTGAGCGGAGAATCACTGAGCTTTTCAGGTGCTTATCGGTCTGGTTGTTCTGACTGCTCTTGCTCTTTCTGTCAGGGTGTGGAGGAGAGCAGCCCTGCCCATGAGGCTGGATTGCGAGCGGGTGATCTGATCACTCATGTGAATGGAGAGTCAGTGCAGGGTCTAGTGCACACAGAGATGATGGAGCTGCTTTTGAAGGTATTCGAACAGAAGCATGCTGGAATTCACTGAACTGTTCTGTAATATTCTGAACTAGACCAAAGATAAATTGTCATTTGAAGGATTTCACAGAAAACACAACCGTTTTGAACTTTCCAGTGATTTTTAGCATGGCTAAGGGTTGTTGTTGCCACACAGTCGTTAACAAATAAATGTATTAAATACAAAAATTTATTTTTTACATTTTAAACTGATAAAAAATTCTACTTGTAATAATTTAGTTTGAGCTAAGTTGGACAAAAATTATATATCATAAATAGTCATACATTTTTACTAAGCGTTTTACTAGTCCAAATTGAATTGCAGATATCTTTGATGTAATTACAGATGTCAACATATTTAATAGTAATGAATTAGTAATATAAAATTAAAAAAATATATATAAATTTAAAAATAAATTAGTAAATATAAACTAGAGTATTTACTAGTCAGCGTGGCCGCAGGTCCTTAAAATGACTTAAAATGTCTTAAATAAAGTTTTCCTAAAATAAGGCCTTAAAAAGTCTTAAAATGTCTTAAATTCAGATTCAGTAGGTCTTAAATATTTTTGGTCACATTACCACAAAAATTTCTCCAGTCTAACGGACCCAGTTAGTGTCCATCAAGAGCACTTTTTCTCCGCTGTAGTTACCGCGTCATCAGAGAGAATTGTGGTTACAGAATACAGTCGAACACCAGCTCACTGACCAGCCTCCGAACTACTTTAAATGGGTTAATGCAAGTTTACTAAAAAATGGCTTGAGAATTGCACTTGCCTGACACGACTAATAGCCTGATTAAAACTTAAGTGATAAAATATAATCACGCATCAAAACGCGCTTTTATTATGATTTTATTACATTCAGCTTAAACAGCGATTGATAATTGATAGTGTAACGTTATTTCTATTATCAATGTCGCGCTGTTGAGGCTCGTGCTGCCTGACTCTGTGAGAGACTTTCATGGAGAAATCAAATCAAATGAGCGTACGGCACACATAAAGAAACTCACAGAACGCCAAAACTCTCGGTGATGCGACACTTTTGTTTTGTGGGAATATTTTGTATGGGATATTGTCTGCTGATATGAAAAGTTCACTGTATATCGTAATAACAAATAGAATTTTTGACAGCGATGATATTTTGTTTTCTTTTAACATTTAAACGTGTTAAATATTGCATATACGTATGTAATATAATGTGTATTTCCATCACAGGCTTGGTCTTAAATTTCACATAAGGTGGTATTAAAAAGGTCTTAAAAAGTCTTAAATTTAACTTGTTCATATCGGTAGACACCCTGCTAGTCTTTTACATAGTAAATATCTGCTGTATGAAGAATAACTAGTCAAAGTTGCAGTACAGATATCTAAAATATGGGTTTTGACTAGTCAAAATTGAATATATTAGTTTTCTGCAAGTTATCTGTTTTGACTAGTAATAGTTTAACTGCAGTTATTTAAAATGTAATTTTGACAATTTTTACTATCTGGAATTTTTTTCACAATATCTGCAATTCAATTTGAGCTAGTAAAATTAATACTAGTCAAAAAATTGCAGGTACCTTTTGTTCTGTGTAATTCAAATTGCATTCTTGCTAATAAAAATTAAGTTTTAATTTTTATTTATTTATTAATTTAATTCTAGCTAATAACGGGAAGATTAAAAGATAAAATGGTTTGCTATAAAATATTAGAGAGGTCAAAGATTATATCTACGTTCATTATGGTTCTCTTAATATACAGAGCGGTAACCAGGTGGCCCTGCAGACTATCGCACTGGAGGACACGTCTATAAAGATTGGGCCGGCACGCAAGCGCAGCTGTAAAGGAAAGATGGCTCGCCGCAGTAAGAGGAGCAAATGGAAGGACAGTCAGGACCGGTCAGGAGAACTCTTGTTTTTTTTTTAAGCTCTCATATTATTTTACATATTAATTTTATTTATTCTTTTTTTCAATGGCCAATCCCAATATGCAGAGTGCAGGATAAACAATTCCATAAATAAGGCCTCTGCATACATAATACAATTCAGTGAACGCAAATTAGATGCTGAAATTGAATTAACATTTATTTTAAACAGTATTTACTCAGCAAAAAGTATTTATTATTCTTTAACAGCCTAGCAGATATGGTTACTGGCTGCTATATTTGATATATGTTAATGGCATTCAGTTTGATGTCACTTGCAAGAGATCGAGATCCATCATTGATGTTTTCGTTAACCTGAATAATGTCTGACGTTCACCCAGGAGGCGCAGTGTACTGAAGAAGCTGTCCAAACAGAGCACCGTCATGCACAGCAGCCGCAGTTTCTCCTCCAGCCTGCATCACTCTGTGTCCTCCAGCGAGAGTCTGCCAGGCTCTCCCACACACAGCCTTTCCTCTGGACCCACAACACCCTGCCGGAGCCCCGTTCCCGACCACACCGCTGGTATGGCGTGATTTTAACAGATATGGAAGATGAAAGACTATTTCAACAAAGTTTGGCAAAGTTTGCTTTTTATTAATTTTTATTTATTTATTTTTTGTAGAAAGGAAGTAAAAAATATTTGTTTCTTTATATTACAAATATAAAGATAAATATTAAATAAAATCGAGAAAGTCAAAATAAGACCTATTTCTAGGTCACTTATTCAATTAAGAAATGAAAAAATATATATTTTTTTAATATAATTTTTATAATTCTATTATATTAAATATAATTCTATTTTTTTATTTATATTATAAAATGAAGAGCTATTTTTAGATTTGGCACTATTTGTGGTTTACTTATTAAATTAGAAAATGGCAAAAAGTTTGGTAAATGTTTTTATATTATGTAGATGTTTTAAAAACATGGAGATAAACATTTAGACATTTAAATACTTATTTCTGTTTTAAATTATATTTTCATATTTGTATTGTAAAATAAAGAAATATGTAAGGTTCGGCACCATTTCTAAATCACGTATTTAGAAAATGCAAAAAAAAATCGAACTGTTTTTCTTTATATTGTAAAATAAGGAAATATTTAAGACTCCGCACTAGTTTTAGTTCACTTATTTGATTGTAAAATGACAAAAAAGTTTGTTGAATATATTGCATATATTCATATGCAGAATATATGTAATTTAAAACGTTTTAACATTTCTCTTTATATTGTAAAAGAAATATTTAAGATTCTGCACTATTTCTAGTTCACTTATTCAATTAGAAAACAGCAAAAAAGTTTGTTGAATATTGTTTATTGTAATAAGCAGATTGTTTTGTTTATTTTCAAACCTACAAATAAACATTTAGGATTGTGAACGTTTTAAAAAAATATTTTGAAATATCTAAATTTTTTTTCAGAATATTTCTCTTTATATTGAAGAAATATTTAATATTATGCACATCATTTCTAGTTCACTTACTCTTATTACAAAACTCCAAAAAGGTTTTGTTTATATTTTTATTTTGTTACAAATTGTCATAAAACATTGCCATCCGTGCAGATGCCAGCCTGCCCCAGAATGCCTCTCCGTGCTCCAGCTCTCCCAGTTCACCGGCGGTCCAAATGCGGCCCAGCTCTCTGCACGGCCTCGGGTCTAAACTCAGCAACCAGCGCTACACTAAAGTGGGGAGACGCAAGTCCACCAGCAGTATCCCACCCTCGCCTCTGGCCTGCACCTCCTCACCGCAGGCCCTGTCCCCTCAGCGCTCCCCCTCTCCCTTACCCAGCATCTCCAAAACCCTCCACTCCTTCCACGGCAAGACCCTGTCGCCCCCCACCATCATTCGGCACGTGGTCCGACCCCGGAGTGCAGAACCTCCGCGTTCCCCTCTGCTAAAGAGAGTCCAGTCTGCGGAGAAACTCTCGGGGGCTTTATTCGCTGACAAAAAGCCCCACGCAGCCCGCAGACACACGCTGGAGGTCCCGCACTGCGAGGTAGACGTCCCGGGAGAGGCCGAGGGGGCCTGCGGTGCGACATACACGGCGGATCACAGCAGGCTGGGTGGGTATCTATGCGCCCAGAGATTGAGGGACTGGCCCGGCGAGCGCATGGAGCAGATCGTCGTAATGCGCAAGCTGAATCTCTGCGAACGTCGAGATTCCTTCAAGAAACAAGAAGCCGTGCAGGAGGTGAGCTTTGACGAGCCGGATGACAGGGCTCCTCAGACGCCCGCATCCACTGGCACACGGCCCAAGCAGATGATAGGCGAGTCGGAGGAGGAGTGCGTGGCGAGGAGGAATCCGCTGGTTCCACAGATCGCCGTGCAAGGATCAGAGAGCGAGGAAGCGGATGACTGGAGGCTTTGCTCAGATGAAGACGAGGAAGAGGCCGAGGAAAATTTGAATCGGGGCGATCGTGCCAACAAAGATGACCCGCGCTCCTCAGCAGCTGTGCAAGAAGCCGCTGAGACAGCGAAGCCGGAAGCGCATCAGAGTCCAGAAAAACGCAAACTGAAAGAGAGATAAATGACTGAAGACTGTTACACATCCGCAGGCTTCTCAACGCACCCGCTGAGATGTTTGTTGCCACACAGATTACCGAGTGGAGTATTTCATTAGTGTGGAAATGGAAGTAAGCTAGTCTTATGCAGGGAATATTTATGCTTTTTTTTTATTTATTTTTTTAATGTACACTGGAGACATACTGTTGTCCAAAAAGAAAACGTAACTGTTGCTAGTACGTTTTTCTCACCTTCTGTGAACCTGTTGAGGAGGGAAATTGAATGACTTGATTTTTCTATGAAAATGTGCAAATGCTTCGAATTCATTTCATCCTCCAAGAGCTTTTCATTTTTGCACCAACTTTGTGATTTTAAAAGCTATTGAATGGAATTGTCATTTGGCCCTTGTTATGTATTATTTTATCATTTCAAAGCGTTTCCAGAGCATTTGAAATGATACATGCGAAGGGAAAAAGGGCTCTGTTGTGCTGAACATTTGGGCTTCAAGTAACTTGACATTTTGGTCAAGGTGTCCAAAAACAAAAACAGTACGATGTATTTGTGGATTTCATGCATCAAACCAAATAGGACAGTTTTTAACCATTATATTTGTCCTTTTTTTGTTTGTTTTTTAAGATGAATTTAGATTTTAAATATTTTAAACTACAGGGATAGTTCACCTAAAAATAAAAAAATTCTGTCATTTACTCTTCTTCAAGAATTCCAAAAGATATTTTGAAGAAGGTCCTCATTGACTTCCATAGTATTTTTCAATACTATGGGAGTCAGTGGCAACCAAAAACTGGTTACCTGCATTCTTTAAAATATCATGTTATGTTCAACAAAATAAACTCCGACAGGTTTGGAACGTCCTGGGGGTGAGTACATGACTCATTTTTGGGTGAACTATCCCTTTAAATTCCTTTCCTGACACTCTGTGCTTCATAAATTACGTTTTCAAGTTTATAAAATGTATTCTTTAATTTAACATCCAAAATCCAAACGTCATCCATTTCAAGGTATAGTTTCACAGTTTCCAAAATCTTTTTTTTTTTGCATGTCTTTAATTTTCCTTTATTCTTTCTGTAAAAAAAAAATTTCACCCAACTTTGCATGTTATTTTCACAGTTCCCACAATTTTTTTTAATGCATGTCTTTAATTTTCCTTTATTCTTTCTGTAATTTTTTTTTCACCCAGCGTTGCATATTAAGTTTACCTGCAACCTAAAAAAATCTCAAAAATTCACAGGTGCTAAGATGAACGGGCTCACCGACACCTTTGAAATATTGTAAGAAATAGTAAAGCATGCAGTCACACATCTCATACTAACTAGAACTAATTCGCGTGTGCTCTTACGAGAAATCACTGCGTAACAAACTACATTATCACGAGTTTTCCATGGACCCGTTGGGCTGTCGGGAGTCCTCACAAGCTTTTGTACTTGGAATAATGTTTACATTTTTTATATATTTGGATTTCTACTGTGCGAAGGGATCTGTAGGGCCTGTTTTTAACTTAATTACAAATGTGTGCAGACTGAAGTCAGTGGGTGGAGGCTTTAGTTAGATTATGGTTTTAAAGTTCAGTTGATGTCATTGTTAATAGGCAAATCTCTAACGTTGCACACGTCAGACTGGATGTTTTTGTGTTCATAGGCATGACTCTCCTCCAAAACACTTTTTCTTAGCTGAATGTCATTATTTGAATCTAATGGACAGTATTTTTATTGCATGAGAAGGTGCAACAGTCAATTGGATGCTGTCAGTTAGTCAGGTCTTTATATGGGACCGCATAAGTCCAACATTTGTTATATTTTTTTAGGTTTATTGTTAATTGCGACCTCTGTGTAACGTTTTTTGCATCAGGCTACTGTAATGGTAAGACCAGTTTGTGTTCATTTTAATAGGCTGTATTTTTCCGCCTGTCAGCCGACCAATTGCATGCTGCATGTTCAGTGAATACACCGTACACGTTGGCATGGCATCCTGAGTGCAGTATGTGTTTAATGGTCAAGTATAACCAAGCTTTTGAATTACAGTAATCTTTCAAACCATTTCACGTTATGCAGACCCCGTTGTGACCTTTTATCCCTCTGTAATCACAGACTTTAGTTGATGAAATGTTTGTCGTGTGGATGGTGTTCAGACGAGACGGGGTCACTATCTGCTCTTACATTCACACTAGAGCTTCACAGCACTGGAAATCCATCATCTATATATCCTGGTGTGCTGCTGGTTTCTTCCATTTTTCCAGAATTGTCAAGACTTACTGATTATTGGTACGTGTTTGTAAAAAAAAAAAAAAAAAAAACTTTTATAAATATTTTTTAATGTTATAACTGTTCGTCTGATGATGTTTTGTAATAAATCATTCACTGGTTAAGAGGGAATATCGTGACTTGTTTTTCTTTTAAAAAAGCATTTTATAAATGAGCAATATAAGTTGGATTGCGATATGGGTTTATATCAGCATGGCTGTGATTCGGCTGTATCTAAATAATAGTCGTAGTATTTATTAATATTTAGTGTTGAGAAAAGGTGTGTGTGTGGCAGTGATGGTGATTTTAGTTACCTACAGTGTTACGCCATTAGATGGCACTTCACTTCGTAAAGGGGCGGTCACACTGCACTTTTCGTTCCATTGACGCTCATTCATATGCATGCGAATTCGTCAGACCAGAAACGCAAGCCCGTGCGAAAAGTTGGTGAACTCTGGCCTGCGAATTCGCATCACGTGATACCGTGTGACCAACGGCAGATCGATACGTCACCGCATGACCTCCTATCTGATTTAAAAGAACATAAATTTAAAACTGCAGCGCTGCAGGAAAGTGGAGTAGATTGTATGTTTTTACATTTTAGATGTATTATAATTTGTTACGTGTTGAATTAGTTTTTAAAAAGACGCTGCACAGCGTGACATCATATCACGACCGTTGCAGCATGCGAAACAATTTCGCAGTCTAGTGTGACCACGGCTTAAGACGCATCCAACAAACGCAATGAACAGCGTTATCATGGGAAATCCCTTTAACTGATGAAAGGATACGACAAAGATATCGCTTTCCTCAGCAGACATTGAAACTAATGTTTTATTGTGAATATGAGATTGAGCTGAAGAATGAATACTGTATCAGATGCAGGTAATCACACTCACTCACTCCATCTCTCTCTCATAATACTCTGCTCTACATAATACAGTGATCTTTTGCAGATCAGATCTCTTTCTCATAATATACTGTACTCTAAATAATACAATAAGCTTTCAACTTCAAAGAAGCAACTTGGTGCTCCGTTACTAGTTCTAAAGTAATGTTTTCGAATTCGTAACGCTTGGGCTCATCTGTTAGGGGCCATTCACACCGAATGTGTTTTTTCATTCCATTGCGCTGTTCCAATGTTTTTCCTGTGTAAACGCGCTTTGCGGTGCTCAAAAAAACTTATCTCAAGACCCTGTTGTTTTTCCACAGTCCACTGCCCGCGTCTCGTGCTTTTCAAAGCAAAAACGCGTTCTGTGTGAACCAGCAATTAAACTGTTAACTTGAGAATCTGTTGCGGAAGGAAGTACTTCCAAACAGGGACACCCCATTGTTGTTTCCTATTTGTTTACACGCTTATGCCATCAAACTGTTATATAAAAACAATATCACTCTTATAGCCATGCGATATGGCTCTATATCAGCACGGCTGTGCTTATTTACGCCACTTGGCCTGTGGCCAAATCACAGCCGATATAGGGCGATATTGCACTTAATAATAATAATAATAATAAGCAGTATTTCTTTATCAACGTGTTTTACCGTGTTTGCCTTTAATACGGCTTCCGATCGTCTTAAAATATAATTTTTGAAGTCTCCGGTTGAATGTCATCTATGTATAAAAACATCTGCTAGTTGATTTAGAGATGTTGGGGAATTAGGATGTTGTTACCTAGTTTTTTTTAAACATACAGTATATACTCCATGACAAAGAGATACCATCCATATTTAACCTTCACTTCTAAAAAATAAAAGTTCTTTATTGGCATTAGTGGAACCTTTCCATTCCACAAAAGTTTCTTCAGAATATTACAATGTTTTTCACACTAAGAAAAAATGGTTCTTTTAAGAACTTATTGCTGAAAGGTTCTTTAATGAGCTAAAAATGGTTCTTTAATATTATCTCTGCAAAAAACACCTCTTGGAACATTTATTTTTTAATAGTGTTTCCAACACAGGAACATATTGGCCCACACATGCTAAAAAAGTCAAATATCTGTTTCTACTTGTTGGATCATTAAGTTAGGTTACCAGATTCACATTTTTGAATCTGTCAATGTTTAACCTGGCCTGTCGCACTGTTTGCTTTTGTATGGACTAAACCATGTACTTTGGCCATTTCAAAACATCTGCTCTGACTTCCACTGCACAAGTCCTCCTTCATGGTTGACCTACTAAGACGACCAGAATAAAGTATTTAAGCATGGGAAATCATCCCTGCACTCCATCTCCAGCAACCATAGACAGTATTTACAGGGTTGCCCAGGACAGTGGGATCCTCCCTGACATCACCCTTGATGGGACGGTGGCAAACCTCCTGTCCCTCAATTCCAGCACTGCGCTCAACCTGCAGTATGCAGCCGTCCAGCAAAGCTTGACCACAGACCAGCTGGTGGCTTTAGACACCAACCTCACCTCTATTTTCGGACAGACCACCAACGTATCTTATGGAGGTGTTGGAGTTGTGGCGCTCGCTTTGTCTTTCCTTTTAGATGCTCTAGTGTCCAGTATTGTCGGTCAGAAGGATGGAGCTACCACAGACCCGTTTAAGAAGCCATTTGGATTGGACAACTCTTCGGAAATTGGCAGCATTGCGAGTGAGTACCTCAAGCTGGTGTCTAAGAGGGCCAATGACATCGATGAAATGGGAGAAATAACTGAACTCTATGACCAGAAGCTGAAATACGCTCTGATCGAGCTCTATGAGAGCGTGACTGTGGATCATCAGCTGAACACATATAGCATTAAGCAGTGGATCAATGGAGCAGCCATCCACCTGCACATGAGGATTCATGGGATTCGTTTGGCGTCCGTACCTAAAGGCACGGCCGAATCGCTGCGTTTGTCGTACCGAACGGGGTTGGCGAGGATAATGCAGCTCTACACGGCGTACTTGAGGCAGTACGTAAGAGAACGATCCACCGCGCAAGGTCCTCCGTTAAAGGCGGGATTCTTAATCATTGAACCCGGTAAGAAGGTCAGACACCGCGTGGTCCATAACACCTGCCAATCACAGGCTATTGCCTCAGCGGTTGTGGCCCGAATTTTATCTGCGCAGAATATTGGAAAGATAGAACGATTTTTTGATGAAGCTGGTCAAATCTTAGACGACTTGCTTCAACAGAGAGACACATTTGAACTTCACAGACGACAGCGAATGAAATCCTAATTTCGTGATTTATTGAGCTGTTTGTTCTAATGCTATATTTTGTTGTTTAAACACTAAACCACGTTTCGGAATAGTTACATATCTGCCGTTTTTGTTGAGTTTAAATAGCATTGCCATTTTATGCTAACTATGTGGCTGGATGTATTAGCATTACTTAGTGAATAAGCTTGCCGTTAATAAATAAAGAAGATAAAACCAGTATTATGGTGGTGTTGTATTATATAATAATTGTTACTTTTGTGTTGCTTTCGTTTTTATTTGGAGCATAAGAAATGCAAGAAATATAGCCTATTTAATCTGCTATTAACCCACTAAATGATGCTAATAAAGATTATCCATATCGGTTGTAAAACTTCATAAATTAAAGTACATCTTTCAAGTAATGAAGCTGCCTTACCTTAATTCTTGACAAAGAATAATATACCTGTCAAGGACATTTACTGTTGCTCATACTTGAGCAAACAGCAAAACTAAAGGTGCTGTAAGCGTTATTAGCCATTTTGCTAACTTTTACAGTTTTGCTAATTTCCACCCCACAGAAGCACAATGTCAAAAACAAATAATCAAGTTTAGATGTTTTGGCCGGTTAGAATTGTTTTGTATTTCTAAATAAATAAATGATGATCCACAAATTAATTTAAAAAGATTCACAAAAAATAAGCAAATTTACAATGATCAAGATGCACAAATCTATAGGAGTTTCCCAATGATCAACTGAATTCACAAATCAAATGATATTTGCAATAAAAATATTTAGAATGTAACTGGTTGAAGCTAGAATGTGATATGATTGGTCAGCATAATGTTGCTGCCATCTGATTGGCTTGAGCAGAGAGAGGGGGTGGAATATACCAATTTGTGACTTGAAAGGTTTCACAATCCATAAATGCACATAAAGTGTGAAACAATTTTTAAAGTGTATTTATAACATAATTCTAAACTCATAAATGAGCCGCTGCTGGTGGATGTAAAACCGATACCAGCTGGCAGTCAAGCATCTTTCTCTACTGACAACCATTTAAAAATATCTGGTTACTTATTTTAATGTGTAAATGTAAATATTGAATATAGTACATGTTTTATCACAGTTTTGCAGGGCTATTAAAAGCACTAAATGGATTGTAGTTTTTGGATTTTAGCTTTTATTTTTCCCTGTCTTCTGCCTTTGAAGTTTCAGCTCATGTCGCTAATAAATGGTTTGGGATTGTTCACATACTTGTAGCGCCATCAAGTCTTAATATGACTCATGTTTCCAGAGCGATTAATCACACAACATTTACGCTCAGATTCGGCTTTTCTTTAGTTGATAAATGTTTTATTTGATATTGCATAAATACAACAGCAAACAAGTTTTTGTTTTCAGCATTCAGTTATTAGACTAATGTTTTCTATATGTGTGTGTGATATAGACTGATACAATTATAGAAATTGAAATGTACACTTTTTTTATACAACATATACAACATGAATATCAGCTGAATTATCATTAAATCTGGAGGTAGGAAATCCTTTCTAGTTCTCACGAGTGCCGAGTGTGAGTTTAGCTGATCGGCGCTCCGGTCGTGACGAGTCTGTAGTATGCACCCTTCAGGCCCATGAGATAGTCATGCGTGCCCTTCTCAATGACGTAATCCCGTGACATCACAGCTATGATGTCAGAGTTCTGGATAGTAGAGAGACGGTGAGCGATGACGATACATGTTCTGCCTTCTCCGGCTTTATCCAGCACCTCCTGTACAGTCTGACACACACAAACATACACTTATATGAGATCTCAACAACAGGAAAATCCTCTCGAACTCTTGTTCTGGCTTTCCTGCTCACCTTCTCACTCTCTCTGTCCTGTGCTGAGGTGGCCTCGTCCAGCAGCAGTATTTTGAGGTCTCGTATGATCGCTATGGCAATGCGCTGCTTTTGACGCGGGACAGCTGGGAACCTTGGAAACCAACATTAGTGTCGTATTTCTGCATTGTGGAACACAAAAACAATCATATGGATTAACTTTACGATGTCTTTATGAACTTTTTGAAGCTTCAAAGTGGTAGTTGCATAGACTGTCAATGGAGGAATAGAAATCCAAAGACTATATACAAAGACTGTTCATTCCTATTACTTATGAATGGGAGAAACTTCAACGCGCAATATGGCGGAATATGTCCCGCCTTCTAAATGAAAGAGCCAATCGCTGATTGGTAAAGTCATTGCGTCACTGCAGCTGCCGTTAGAAGCTCCGGTTCCCATAAAAACCAGAGACTCGCGTTTATGACTGCACATGCGCATTGCCTGGTCTAGCCTGAAAAATAAACTTTTTTTAACGCTATTTGAGCATAAGGAATAACATTTATAGGGCAGTTCATTTCAGATTTTGTTGCTGATTTGAAATTCAGTAGCAGTTTTTGAGATTTCAGGATTCCCCCATTCATATAGACAGGACTTGGTCTTGGATGCCTGAAATTGCTAACTGGAGGCGTTGTAAATATGGCCGCCAAGTGAACAGGCTTTCCTTTAAAGGGACTTTGTAGAAATCTCTCAGATTGTGTTCCTAAGATGAATGAAAGTCTTACAGGTTTAAGGAACAACATGAGGGGTGAGTACAGTAAATGATGACAGAATTTTCATTTTTGGGTGAACTATCCCTTTAAAACCTTTAAACTTCAAACTTTTAAAACCACTTCAAATTTAAAATCTTCAAACGTAAAGCTTTTCAAATTACTTCAAACTTTCAGTCTAGGCTTTCACAGGCCAACATAAACGTTTTTTTTTTATCTAGTTTTTTCATCTAATCTGTCCTTTATGAATAAATTGCTTTAATTTGAGGACATGAAAAGTTTAGAGTAGAATCTCTGAGCTGTCATTTAGTAATAAAGTAGATTCTCACACAAAATTAATGTAGCATTAATTCTAAATTCTGGTCATATGAAGATTCCCCATTGAACAACTCAGGAAGTGGTGACATCTTCCATGCTGAGCTCGCGCTGGTTGTCTCCATAGCGGATGTTCTCTGCTATACTGCAGTCAAACAAAATCGGCTCCTGAGAGACGATCCCAATCTTCGAGCGCAGGAAAGCAACGTTGACCTGAGTAGATTCACGGCCATCAATGAGCTAATCGATAAAGAATCACAAACTCAGTCTTTTTGATGGATTGAATGCAAAAACACAATTCCAAATCTGTGAAAAGCCCCAACAGAGTTTTCTTACCACACGTCCATTATTAGGATCATAGAATCGCTCCAGTAGTTGACTTACCACAGCCACTGCTGCCCACAAAGGCCAATGTCTGTCCCGGTCTAACACTCACACTCAAACCATTCAGAACCTGAATATCAGGTTATGTGAATTTACAATCTATGTCCCCTTTAAAATGATCCTAAAAGAAAGTGAAAGAGAGAGTGAACTGTCACTTTATATGTCTTTGCAGTCACTTATGATCAATTTATTTTCTGAAGGATCATGTGACACTAAAGACTGGAGGAAAGACTGATGAAAATTCAGCTTTGCATTACATCACAGGAATAAATTACATTTTAAAATAGATTCCAACAGAAAACAGTTATTTTAAATTGTATTATCAAGTTAAACTAAATTAAAAATAAAAATGTTGCCTTGGCTGAAATAAAAAGTTTTTTATAATTTATTTCAGTTAATATTTATTTTATTTCAAGTAACAAAAATGTTCGGGGTTTTTTATGGTTTTGATTTTAGTTTCAGTTTTAGTTAACCATAATAACCCTAAAACAACTACATTTGAAACAAGGCCTTTACTAATTTCCTCACACAATATGAGTCTGTTATGTTACATATAAAAATGTATTTATATTTTAGTGAATCCCAGTGTTTCCCATACATTGATTTATTTGTGGTGGCCCGCCACAATATCAATGCTGACCGCCACAAATACAAAGTAGTCAACATTTGAAGTGGATCAAAACCTTTCATCAAAGACGTCCTAAAACCAAAGCAATACCCGTTCTTGTTTTAGGACAACTTTGATGAACTTCTCTGATCCACTTCAAATGTTGACTACTGTATTTTGCAAAAGGCTTTGACTTTGTTGAATAAACATGAGCACTGCATGTTTCAAAATCAAAGCACGGTGCGGGTGTTTTTATATGAATGTATCTTTGAAGGGAACCGACTGTCTTCAGAAAAGCTTTAATGTCATTTTAATTTAATCTTTCATATAATGCTTGATAAAGTAGCATTAGTTTGTGGGAAACACTGGAATCCCGCACAAGGGCATCATCATATTTGGGGGTATTTGCTAATAAAAAAAATGTGAAAACCTGCTCTCACCCGCATGATTTGGTCATGTTCAGTGCCAGGTTTTCTTCCTCCGTCAGGTTTCTCCGTTGTATAGTATTGTTGACGCATACTTTGTCCGGGTCACTAAGCTTGTTGAGCTCGATGTCATACTCTATGAAGGTGTCCGTCAGCATCCCAAACACGAGCAGCATCAGCGGCTGTGCCGAACCATGAATCATCGCACATATGCTTCCAAAAATCATCATGCAGATCTCCCGGCAGCTGGAAAAACGAAACTGCAGGGGAAATCAACAATACAACATATCTAGCAGTGTAAAAAAAGCTTTTATCGACTGTGCATAATATTTAAATGGACAAAAAATGGGCCTACTGCAATATCATGAACAGAATTGTATCTAGATGAACTCCTCAAACCACAAACCCTTGATTGTAGACCACTATTGGCCTCAAGGGCACATAATAAATCAGTCACAGTCATTAAAAACTACAAGTTTGCTGCTATATCCAGCAGGTGGGCATCTAGTAAAACCCATGTAACATAATACATATATTTAACATATAATATAAAACATAGTACCCCCTGAAAACAGAAGCTTATTTAAAGGCATGATTTCATATTCCTCATTGTGATAATATGTGACCCTGGACCACAAAACCAGTCATAAGTAGCACGGGTATATTTGTAGCAATAGCCAAAAATACATTGCATGGGTCAAAATTATCGATTTTTCTTTTATGCCAAAAATCATTCGAATATTAAAGGGATCATATGATGCTGCTAAAAAGAACATTATTTTGTGTATTTGGTGTAACTCAATTTCGAAAAATTGACACTTATGACTGGTTTTGTTGTCCATGGTCACATATAGGTATTACCAGCTGAAAGAAGCCGACACGGATGGCTGGTTCTTCTTTCTTTTCATTTTTGGACCTGTGAATGAAATGAAAAAGTGATGCTTAAAGGAAATGTGAGAAAACAAGCTTCCGTCTTTAAGAAAAATGAGAAAAGATACTTACCTTTTATCCTTTCCAGAAGCCATTGTCCTGTATTAATACAATTTTTAGTAAAAGAAACAATAAGAAGTCAGATTTCTCAATGCTTTGATTAGGAACATAGGTTTCATTAAAAAACAAAAACACGTAAGAACTTACATGTAATCACCATTTGTCTCTGTAACAGAATCAATAGGTTCATTAACATCTGAATGGAGCATGTTACAGATTTGTGAATAGTTTTAGAAGATTAACTACTAAACAATTTACCTTCATCTGAAAATTCATAACCATCATTTTCCTGTCCAAACTTCTTGATGCTGCGCAGCTTAACAGTTCCTGGCATCGTTCTGCCTGTTCTTGTCTTAATAGCATTAAGAAAACAGATGCTTCAGGATAATTGAATCACAGAAGAACATAATGTATCATTTCAAACTAAACCCAACACTAAAAACTTACCTTGCTGATCCAAAGTGACTCTTCTTTTCTGTTATGGATTTGTTTTATATTGAAAATGATTCCCAGGATATTACTAAAATCTGGTCATGTTCTTAGCAAAAGTCCGGGTACGTTCCTTTTCAGCTCCAGCAATGTGTGAGAATGAATCTGTCAGTCGTTGCAGACAGTATGTGTATGTAGTTAAATGTCTTGCTCAGTTTGGCTCAGGTGAGGTAACTGTCCGGCAGGTTTGTTCCGTCAGAGAGAGTGAATAACCTCCGTATACAAACACTGACATCAGATAATTGTCCCATAAAATCAATACAGCTATTCAGCCGCATGTACTCACAAGATATTAGGATTATTACGATAGTATTTAGATGCAATAGAGATAGTATTTAGACATTTATGCTAGAAATCACATGAAACATAAAAATCAAATAGTTCAGATAGTGTCACCTGGATTTTTGAGGAACATCCAATAGGATGGCCCTTTGTCATGCAGTCATTTTATGCAAAATGAGCCATGATTGAGTGACTACACTGGCCTGAGATTTAGATGTCTAAAAACCCATTTTAGAGAACTGTTTCTCAGATGGACTAAATCTGAGAAAGCTTAAAGGGGTCATATGATGCGATTTCAATTTTTCCTTTCTCTTTGGAGTGTTACAAGCTCTTGGTGCATAAAGAAGATCCGTAAAGTTGCAAAGGCTAAAGTCTCAAATCCAAAGAGATAATCGGCTTTCACCGTGGACGAAGTGGAGTCCAAGCCTGGGTCGTCACATGTGGTTGCCGCAAGCCCTCCAGACGCTCCTTCGTCGAATCCACCGGACGCGCCGTTCTCAAGCCCACCGCCTCTGCTCACTCAAGCCTTCCGTCCGTTCCTCACTTTATCTCCCGGCCTCTGCTCAGTGTAGGCCGCCATGTGTGACGCTGTGTTTCGTTGTGAAAGCGAAACTACTTTGCAAAATAATGTTCTTTTTAGCAACATCATATGACACCTTTAAAAGCTTGTGAGGTCATTTACCTCAGCATGTTTCCGCACAGGACACGGGTGACCCTTAATGCACTGCGAGTCAACCTGTTTGGAAGGAACATGAACTGAACCACCAAAAATAAAACACTCTGAAGTACATAACCAATAACCAACATTAATTTTAAGTAACAATTAAGTGAAATATCCATTTTTTTTTTTTTTTTTTTAAATGTGTTGCTTTGTGGCAGCAGAACATGCATGTGCAGACACATGTGAGATCCGCTACTCAGAAAGCAAATAGAGACAGAAGTGACTCATTAACTCAGATCCTCCTGAAGCTCCGCCTCTTTCCACACTCAGTTTAAAGCAGCACTATGTCACTTTTTCTGTGTGTTCAAAATTTGCTAAATGTATATAATGAGCGAGTACATCATGAATTCATCTTCCAAACCGCGTTTTTGTCTTATTCCGAATCACTACGGTACACTTATAATAAGTAGTTATATTTGGACTATTGTAGCCTGGTCGGGTCGTCACCGCTGCGGAGGAACACATACCTGCGTGACTCGCCATAGACATAAACTTAGAGAAGTAGCTCCGGTTGGAATGTTCTTCCGCGGAATGTGTGCAGTTCTGTTTATTAACCGCTAGAGCACCAAAAGTTACATAGTGCTGCTATTACACCGTCAACACTCCATATGATTGACCTCACAAACATAACAACTGTTGCGCTCTTTAAATAATCAGATAAATAAAACAATGATTTATTGGAATTATGGACATTTCTTATTTACTTGTTTGAGTCAATGCAAATCAATATTCAAATATGGAAAATCAAAATATTGGAATTGGAATGCAATAAGTTTGTTTCATCATGCACTTGCATGCAGGGTTGATGTACTTGCTCTGAACTAAAAATAACTCTATAGCCCGTAATGCAAAAGAGGACACACTTAGAGGAACAGTTCACCCCAAAATGGAAATTTGCTGAAACTCACCTTCTGGTTATCCAAGATGTAGATGAGTTTGTTTCTTCATCATAACAGGTTGGAGAAAAATGTAGCATTATATCACTTGCTCACTATTGGATTTTCTACAGTCAGAATGAGAGTCCAAACAGCTGATAGAAACATCACAATAATCCACAGCACTCCAGTCCATCGATTAAGATCCTACGATTCGAAAAGCTGCATGTTTTTAATAAACAAACAAATCTATTCTAGTCTAAATCAGTATAAATATACCTACTGTGTGTAATATGAACAAATGCAAAATAATGCTCATGATAAACATTTTATAAGTAAAATGTCAAAACTGCATTCTCATAGATGTTGCTCGATTTATAATTCTTGTCTGTGTGTTCCCAGCTTTATGTTTTGACAGCCCTGTTAGTGGTCCTGTTTTACATAGATAGATGGCAGCAGGAGCTTGAGAGAGTTTGAGTCAGTGGTAATGAGTATGTTTTCATCACAGGCTGTGACTGGCTTCAAAACGCTCCTCGCAAGCCATCTGGACGTGTGCGGAGCGGCAGCGTGCTTAAGAGGAGGAGCTGGGAAATCATGTTCATCAAGTGTGTCCACAATCCATCTGGATGACATGAATGTGAGAGCATTGATAAAGCACGCTAAAGTTCAAAAATTAGGGATTATTTAATGTTTTAAAATAAGTCTCTTATCCTCATCAAGGGAGAATTTATTTGATCCAAAATCTGATTAAAAACCGTAATATTGTGAAATATTATTACAATTTAAAATAAGAGTTTTCTGCTTTAATATATTTTAAAATCTAATTTATTCCTGTGATACAAAGCTGAATTTTCAGCATCATTACTCCAGTCTTCAGTGTCACATGATCCTTCAGAAATCATTCTAATATGCTGATTTACTGCTTAAGAAACATTTCTTATTATGTTGAAAAAAAAAATTTGTGCCGCTTAATATTTTTGTAGAAAATGTGGTACAATTTTTTTCAGGTTTCTTTGATTAATAGAAAGTTCAGCATTTATTAGAATATCATTTACTTACTGTCACTTTTGATTAATCATTTTCAATTGAATGTTTATTAAGTATTTCTTTCCCCCAAAAAATATTACCAATCCCAGACATTTGAATAGTAGTGTATATTGTGACAAGTATAGGATAAAACATAATCAACAACTCAGCTGTGATTAAGATGCAAAGGGCCTTCATTTTTCAAAACTTAAATGATTAGCAAAACTTTTTAAAGGGTCTTTGAATTAATAACTTTCTTACTACCTGCAAAAAGAATTCTGTGAATATATGTCTTAATGGTAAACTATCGAGATTTCATGGCAAAATAATGTTATTTATTTTCTGCATGTTTTAGGAAGAAGTGTGTATCTTTCTGGTGTGGTGTTCTTGTGCATGTATTCTTCAAGATCAGTGTAAGTGTGTATGTAATATTTCTCTTGAATATTTTTTGCATATGAAGCATATCCTAATTTGTGCATTGTCCCTCCAATGTGTCTAACTGGAAAGGTGATGAAAGAGAATTTCTCTAAGGTGCCAGATGGTGAACTGCGTTGAACATGCCGTCTCAGATGTGCAGCTCGTACCTGTTATTCCTCAGGGTGAGACGCACAATTCCTGTTGCTGTCTTATTTTCCCACCTGCGTCTCTGACTGTTCGCTGCTCAAAGGTGCCGTTTTTGCAATATATTTGCTATTGTGACCATCAAAACGACTTACTGTACAGTATTAAAAGTAAAAAAAAAAGTGAGTGTTTATGCAAAGGTGAGTGAGCTGATATCCAACAATTTGGCATACTGCTGATTTGGATTTGTTATGGGCAGCTTGACAGCAGCTACTGCCACATTTCGGTGTGTTGCGCAATAGCGCCACCACGTGGCCAGTTGTTAATAAGGCTCATAGTGCAGTAGTCACGTTTCTACCGATTTGAGCTCTGCTGGGACACATTGCAGATCCAAATTTCGACCACAGCACCAAAACATTTGCATTTGACTTTAGCAGAAGATCTGCAGACTATTGCAAAGGCCTTGCTATTTAAATGTACACATACGAAGAGGTTGCTGTAACAATGTGTGACTTGCTGAAATGCTGGTAGTTGGTTTACCAAACATATTCTGAATAGAGATTTCATGCAAGAGGGGGCTTGTTTAACATGAATCCAAATGGGACATTCAGTTAGCTGTTTTTATATATCTGGTTTGTCAAAGTCAAATATATATAGTTGTGCAAAAAGATGTGGTGAGGGGGAGGGATTCATCCAAATAGGTTCAAAACTGAGTAGGGATGTAACGATTAACTGCGAGCCGGTTGAAAATCGATTCAAATGTGTGACGATTCAAATCGGTTGAGATGCTAAACAAATCGCGATTCATTTAGGTGTAGGAGTTTATATGAATGTATGTCTGAGGGGAACTTACTGTCTTTAGAAAAGTTTAGATGGTGTTTGTTCTTTTCGTCTTGCCTCCGTATAATGCATATTAAAGTTCATGAGTGCAGCGCTGCTTTGTTTACAGCGGAAACCAGGAAACGGTTTAAGCGCCACCTGCTGGCAGAGAGTGCATCTGCGTCTCATTCAGCTCTGCTGTTTCATGCAGATATTTTTATTTATAGTTTCACAAAACTGAAGTCAAACCATTCTGTTTTTTATAATTTGTCTTAAATCTCATTTTGTTAAAAAAAATAACAATCATGAATCGAATCGTGAGTTGAGTGAATCGTTACATCCCTAAAACTGAGACTTGTCTTTCTTATGTTAGTTTCATGCTGTTTATCCCAGCATGCAGTAGAGATCAATTTTGTCCCACCTTTATTAGAATGGTGTCTTGCACGTATAAAAATGACTTCAAATGCAAAACACAGTAGCAGGTTTCCTATTAGACATGTAAATCAATACTTCTACCTTTTTTAAATTGTCAGGAATCCACACTGGAAGTATTTTTAAAAACTAAAGGACCGTTTTAGTTTGTTTTTAAAACCGTTAAGTCTATTCAACTTTGGTTACAGTTCAGTAGCTGCTCCTGAAATACATTTTAAATTAAAGCCAAAATAAAGCATTTTATACACACACCATCAGGCTTTTATGTAGGGCTGTGCGATATTGAAGGAAAATGCGATATGCAATACGATAATGCTTAAAGTGTCACCTGCTCAAATGAAACAGTTTTACTCAGCTGTTGCTGAGTCAGTTCTGTGAACTTCTATATCTTGTCATATATATATATATGGTTATTTGTATGCATGCATGTACCAAAAAATTCCTGTAAAACAACAAATTCCTTGTGTTTGCGCACACTTAAGTGGTGAATAAAACTCATTCTGATTCTAATAAGAAAGCACCCCTACAACAACTTCTGAAAGTGAACGGTAGTGTTTTACTCGAGCATTACATAAAAATGTCATTTTAACATTAGTGTAATAATTTTAACATGAGTTTAGGAACTGAATGATAAAAAGGAAAAATAAAACACTTAGTATTTACTCTTGGAATTCAATATGCACTGATTCTTATTTAAACTACAAAAGTTATTTAGGTAAGAGCAGTGAGTGATTTTCTCTCTGTCTTTTGTTCATGGCCCCAAATATTGCAAGCCGTAGCGATATGCATATTGCGATATGTACATTTGCGATATTACGATAATTTCGATATATTGCACAGCCCTAAATATATATATATATGGTTATTTGTATGCATGCATGTACCAAAAAATTCCTGTAAAACAACAAATTCCTTGTGTTTGCGCACACTTAAGTGGTGAATAAAACTCATTCTGATTCTAATAAGAAAGCACCCCTACAACAACTTCTGAAAGTGAACGGTAGTGTTTTACTCGAGCATTACATAAAAATTTCAACTTTGAAAAATGTCAAAATTTCAAACATTAGTGTAATCATTTTAACATGAGTTTAGGAACTGAATAATAAAAAGGAAAAATAAAACACTGCTTAGTATTTCCTCTTTGAATTCAATATGCACTGATTCTTATTTAAACTACAAAAGTTATTTAGGTAAGAGCAGTGAGTGATTTTCTCTCTTTTGTTCATGGCCCCAAATATTGCAAGCTGTAGCGATATGCATATATGTACATTTGCGATATTTCGATATATTGCACAGCCCTATTTTATGGATCATATAGTACGATATATTGAAAATATTGACGTCATACTCAAACACAATATTGTGTTTTAGATGTTATTTAAAGTGGTCAACTTAAAGCTTGTTAAAAAAAACTAAGCCACGTTTTGATCATTAATTTAGAGGCCTTAATTTAATGTATTATGTGATATAGTAGGCTTTATAGTGTTGGCCAATTAGAAAAATCCACAGGACCAAGAGAAATGGTTCACGTTAAGACAGTTTTATTTCCATCTTCACAAATTGGAAACATTAAATAGAACTTCAGAATGTCCAGCGATAAAGATGCAATTTGTTTTTGAATGCGACGTTACAAACCAAGTGCTCCTCCCTTTCATTCAACCCACCCTGACACGTTTAAACAGACTCATTTACGAATGCTCCTCAGCCAGCCTCTCTGCCTTCTGGACGACCTCCTCGATGGGGCCCACCATGTAGAAGGCCTGCTCAGGCAAAGCGTCATACTCACCTAGGGAAACAAACATTATGAGCAACACTGAATAAAACAAATACTGCATTACCAAAAGTGGATGTAATCAACAGTCAAGACAAAATAGAAGGACTTGAGGACTTACCACCCAGAATGGCCTTGAAGCCTTTAATGGTGTCTTTCAGGGGCACCAGCTTGCCCAAGTGTCCAGTGAAGACCTCAGCTGACACTGACCTCAGATCCAGCCTGGGTGAAGCGGAAAATGTTGTCAATGAATAGCAGCACATCTTGCCCCTCCTGGTCACGGAAATATTCAGCAACGGTCAGTCCAGTCAGAGCCACACGGGCACGGGCACCTGGGGGCTCGTTCATCTGTCCGTACACCAGAGCCACCTAATGGGAACCAAGAGGACCTTGTAACTTGCTGGTAGTAGATTTTAAGTGGTTTGTCAGAGCAATTTTAGATGTACCTTTGAGGTGGTGTCCTTCAGGTTGATGACACCAGACTCGATCATCTCATGGTAGAGATCGTTTCCCTCACGGGTTCTCTCTCCTACACCAGCGAACACCGAGTAACCACCATGAGCCTTGGCCACGTTGTTGATCAGCTCCATAATCAATACAGTCTTTCCCACACCAGCACCACCGAAAAGACCTGAAGAAATGAGATGGTGCCTTTAGTTAGCTAAAGCATAGCGGGGTTCAAAACAAGCACAAGCAAATTGTAAGAGTCCTTACGCCAGCATTTCATTTGAAGGAATAGTTCACCCAAAAGTTGAAAATTATCATTTACTCACCCTCACATTTTTACAAGCCTGTACGAATTTATTTCATCTGCTGAAGACAAAAGATGATATTCTGAAAAACACTGGTAACCAAACAGTTTCTTATCCCCATTGACTTTCCCCCAATACTGTGGAAGTCAATGGGAACCGGCAACTGTTTGGTTAGACATTCTTCAAATATCTTCATGTACAACAGAAGATAGAAACTCATACAGGTTTAGAGCAACTTGAGGGCGAGTAAATGATAGTTTCATTTTTGGGTGAAATATCCCTTTAAGGCTCAGAAATTTCAAATGTTTTTGAAAAACAACTAATTTATTAGAACAAATACAATAGAAACCTTAATACTGTGGAATCAGTATAATTTCAGACAACTTCGTATTTAAAAGGTTTTAAAACGTAATTTATGTCTATGATGGCAAAGCTGAAGTTTACCCCTGTCTTGTGTCACATGATCCTACAGAAATCAATCTAATATGCTGATTCAGTGCTCAAACATTTATCAAATGAAGAAAAGAACTAGATACATTTTCTCAGAATTCTATGATGAATAGAAATCGACTTAAAAACAATTTTAACACTATGAATGTCTTTACGGTCACTTTTGATCAAGGTAATGTACCCTTTCTGGATTAAAGAATTAATTTTCAAATTAAGCTTAATCTTTTTAACAGTAGCATTTACACACATACCGATCTTACCACCCTTGGCATAGGGTGCCAGCAGGTCTACGACCTTGATTCCTGTGACCAGAATCTCCTGCTCGACACTCATGTCTCTGAATTCTGGGGCCTCCGCATGGATGGGGGCAGTCCTGGATAACAGATCACAAACAACATTCAATTATGTATTTTACAAGAGGATTAACGCTCCTTAAATGAGCTTGCAAACACTTATTTTAGTCTTCATAATACCAAAGACTATAGAATACCCAAGACGTGTCACACATGTATAGTTTTGAATGGAGAAAAATGCAACCTGAGAAATAAGTTTTTTTTTTGTTTTTTTTTAAACGCTATTTGAGCAAAATAAACATTTATGATACAGTTGTCAGATTTCACTGGTGATTTCAAATATGAATTTATCATAAGCTTGGTGACCAGTTTTAGAGAATGAGGTTTCCCCGTTCAAGGAGATGGAAGCTGCATTTGCTTGCCTGAGGAGAAGGGTATAACTGCAGCCCAGAGATCTCCAAATGGGGGCGGGAACTCCAAAACGGGGTGGGAGCTCCAAAATAGGGCGTGGCTTCCTCCCATTGACAGACAGGCACATGACATGCATGTGCAATTTTCCCCCCCAATCCACTTCAGTGCAAACTCCGCCCCACAGCTGATTCTAAAGATTTTATTGGTTGTGTCAATTAAAGTGTTGATTTCCTACATTATGCTACAAAAAATGCTAACCCCTAAACCTACCCCACACCTGACCCTAACCTTAACCAGTGAAATTGACTGCATGGCGGGATTGGCGCTGAATAGCGTGGTAAAGAAAGTTGCAGTTCAGGAGATAAACAGTTAATAAGATTATGCGATGAGATCGTTCCGTAACTCCCCAACCGGACCTCACCGGACAATGGCACCTTTTTAGTTACACCCAGCGTCACTACCCCCTCCTACCCTGCGAATTTCGTGCCCGGGGATGCCCCCGTTGCTTGGAACAAAGCGATAGAGATTAAAGTCTTTCCCCTGCACTGGGACGGCTCGCGGGAGAGCTTGTGGGCGATTCCCATTTATATCATTAAGCAGAGGTTCAAACTCCAGTCCGAACAGCACTGGCCATGAGCTTTGGGCTCTGCTAGAAACAATGTTTAATTTATAAAGTTTTATTTTGAAATGTAAGTCAATAACAACTGGCTGAAGCCACAGCCAATGGTGAAAGTCTTTGCGGGAGGAGACCCCCGCCCCATTTGGGAGGTTCTGCCCACTTTGAGTTCACGCCCCATTTTGGAGATCTCCGGTCTGCAGTTATACCTACTTGGGCCTGAGAGGCGTTTCAAAGATGGCCACCAAGTGACATGAATTGCCTTAAAGGGACTTTGATAATACTCACTGTTTTGTTGTAATTGGTCCTCTCTCGTCAATGGGCTCACCAATGACGTTCATGATCCTGCCAAGCGTCTCAGGTCCCACAGGGATTCTGATGGGGGCACCGGTGTCAAGAACCTTCTGACCGCGCACCAGTCCCTCAGTACCGTCCATAGCGATGGTGCGGACAGTGTTCTCACCTAAAGAGCAAAAAGAGTTACTCTGCAAACCGGTCATGACTTTACCATTCAGATTTAATTGATTGGGTAAAGCTTCAGTCTCGTTACCCAGATGCTGAGCCACCTCGAGGACTAGCCTAGTGTCACGGCCGGCCACTTCCAGGGCATTGAGAATAGGGGGCAGACCCTCGTCGAACTGGACGTCCACAACGGCGCCGATGACCGCGACGATACGCCCGCTGGCGGCGGCAGCAGCTGCGGCAGGAGCGGCATAATCCCTGCCTGTGAGAGAGAGGAAGACAAACAGCGGAATATCGCATGAAACTGAGCATCTGTAATAGAAACATTTAAAAACATGCATATGCACGCTCGAAAGCTTATATTTTGATTAGTCACTAATATAGTTTCTGTTTGCTCGGTGTCCTGAGAAATCAAAACAGGCTAATGAATGAACGCACGCAAGTCGATGTTTTAGATTTTAAAAAAGGGATGTGCCTGCAATCTGCATTTATAGCTTGTAAATGTCTATAAATGTGTTTGCATTAACTCGTGATCTTATTCCACATGTTTATTCTGTACCATGACCTCGCGAGTTGCGAATAAGCTAGCATGACATATAAAGGTCATCCCGGTTTTCACACCAAACAGACTTAGCTGTTGTCATCAAATGAAGTACTCCGCTATGTCAGTTTATTTCCAACAGGAGACAACAAACATGTAGCACATCTGGCGAAGGCAATCGTTGGAAACGTTGACGGTGAAACTTTGCGGCCTGCGCTTGCTGTCCGCATGCTGCCATTTAGCAGTCTGGCGCCGGCGGTGACGCTGCTGTCAGAAGAGCTGCTTTAAAACAAAGCGTTTCGAAAACCAACGAATTCTACTTACGAGAAAACAGTGCCGCTGGAGCTCCGTTGAGAGCCTTCAGGGAGGTCACCCCGGGCTTGAGAGCTTGCAAAGCCCCGGTGCAGCAGCGTCCCACAGCTCCCAACATGGTTAAAATGGCTGAAGGTGGAATGGGGCAGAGGCTCGGCAGCGTATATACGGTGCCGCTCGAGTCCGACAATGCGCATGCGCAGCAGACATGGCGACACAGGAACTGCGCATGCGTCAGTGTTGTTGAAGGACAGACTGGGCATCGTTACAATGAACTGAAATAGCTTTATACTGCATCTGCAGGAACAATGATGTGGACGATTTTGGTCAAATGTAATACCCTAGTATACATGTATAAGTTTGCATTTACGTAAAAATAATGGATCAATACCAGAACGCTTTATTATTATTATTATTATTATACAGAATGTGTAATAGATGCAGTATCCACAGGTGGCAAGTATTTACGCGTGGTCCTCATCTGTTTTAGAGAATAACAAATATGAAATGCTTTTTAGCAGATGAAACATTAAGTCGAATCTCACACTTTCTTGCATGTAGTTTTGCCAATGTCTACTACAAGTACTAGCGTATGTTTACCAGTCTGTGACCTGTAGGTGTCGTTGTTGTGTAAACGTTATTCAGTCATCAAGAGTCTTGATTCAAGACTGAACATTTATTGGTCAAAAGACGTGTATTGGTGACAGTTGTTAAGTTGCTGTCTCTGTCAAGAAACACCTTATACGTCTTAAGTATGCATACTAGCAGTAAAATGTTGTGGTTAAAGGCCAATGGGCCCATTATGATTTATTCTGACAAAGAAATTAAAACACAGTCCTGTGATTCTAATGTTTTGTTCGATATAATGGATACAAATGATTCTAAACTCAGTGTAGTTATCTTTCATTCTTATTTAGGGTAAAACAGGGTTACAGAAAAGTCATACAAAAATGTCAATGCACTTTGTATAAAATGAACTTAAAACAGCTTGTTTTACTCTAATCATTAATTAAATTAAACTTAATGTCACAGACCAATGTCTAAAGGTGACAACAAAACACACCTCCAGCTTCACCATCATCACTAACATCAGTTTAATTACTAATTTAATTGTGTACATAGGTAGGCTATAGATAGGTATGGATACAAAACCACTACTGATATACATTCAACAGACAATCACTGCAAATTATTCATTTACTTTACAAAAGATAAAGTCAAGCAAGTCATGCAAGATTTGAACTCGAAGTAAACCTGGGAATGTTCATATCTAAGTTATGACAAACTTTTGCAAACAACCTAAAACTGGTGATTTTTAAACGATATTTCAGTGCTTTTGAGAGCAAACACAAAAAAACTGAAACTGAAAATGTCTGTGCAGTCATATGCAGTTAATATGAAAACGTTTAAATAATACATAAATAGTTAATTGGTCAAAAGGTGTGTATATGGAAAGCCATCAACCCATTTATTTCTGACAAAGAAATAAAAACACAGTATCTATAGCATGAATAAAATATGGGAATATTAATATTAAAAATATTTTAGTATATTAAAATTGTATGTTTACTGAACAGATCATACCACACTCTTGTTGAATGCATAACCTATAATGCTTCAAAGTGCTGATCTCATTAAGACTGTTTAATGATGCAGAACAAGCAATTATTGGCCAGTGAGCTATACTGCCATTTTGTAATGTCATCCAGCCATTGATTGTGTGCACAAATAGTCCACACACATCCGAAAGATCCTCATGGTTATATGCATGGGTGAAAATCTCTGCTAAGTAGGTCAACAAAAGTTTCAGTAAGCCACATGATGAAGGGATCAAAGGCACATAGAAGTCTGTTACATTGGCTGTACCCTGATGTGCATGTGTAACAAATATTGATGCGTCTCAGAAGCAGCAGTAATTGTGTTGTGTGCACAGATGGTGCAGCAGCACAACTGAACAAACAGGCCTGAGCTGTTATTGCACTGCCTGTACATATTTGTGCTGTACGATAAGAGATTTCTGTGTTCGGTGTGATATAAATCCATTATGGACTTGCACGGGTAGAGTTTAATTAATGCCTCCCATATCAGAGGCTGATTTTACAGTAGTCTTGTTATTTGTGTAGATCTTTGACTGGTGTGAAGTTTTCGTCTGTCGGGGTTATCAGGAGGAACAGCTGTCTTAGTTCTTCCTCACTTAACTCATCACAGTTTATTCAATCAGATAGTCAAATCTAATTTTGCTATTGTACCAGAATGAGACTCATTAACAGTAATTACTAAGTAAACAAACAGACAGGAAGAACAGCAGATATAGTGTTGAACGTGACACTGAAAGACACAATAAAACAATAAGACAAACTCACTGAGATGACTTGAAATGGGTTACAAATCATTAACAATTTGGAAAGACTAGTCTAAGTCAGTTTTAAATGTCCATTATATTTATTAATTACAATATACAAAATGAAACAACAGAAGGCCATATATTCTTGTTTTACACTTGTTATATTTGTGGATTTAAGTAAGGACACACGATATATTTGCACCATAGCTGTTATCAGTTGACAGAATTTTTTTTCTACATCAGTCAATAATGAATCTTTAATTGTTCATGTTTATTTTCTCCATTTGTACAGTTATATTACATTTACCATGAGTTAATGCTTGCTTAATCTTTAATAACACCGTTAAATGTAATGTTTACAGAATCTCAAAATGAATATCCATTTTTCAAACTGTACATTACAGTGTTGTGATGCTTGAATTCATTTTTAATTTATTTAGACTAAATAATATAGAATTTTAATAATAACATGGCCACAGCATGAAAATAATTAGCAGCTTATTAGTAATGTCAAGAAATGTAAAATCTGTGCATCTCTAGCTTCAAGTGTTTACATCATTACATATTTCATAAAATAATAATGTGAAAGGTACAACTAAACAATTTTATCTTCAAAAACAATACAATCAGACACATTCCACAATCACACAGATAACAATGTTCCCTTTCGAACGGTCTCTCTCGTTGCGTGAAGACGCATTTGGGGAAAACTCCTGTTGTACTCTACTGAAGCCTGATTTGTTCATGTTTGTGTAGCTGGACAAACCAATAGCACTTTAGCCCGTCAGAAAGGGCGGAGCCGACCCCTATATAAGTCGGCTCAGAGCGCCATTCATCAGATCATTCTCCTTCAGCGACGAGGATCATCTCTTCGCTGACTCTGGAAGAAGCCAAGAAGAAGAAGAAGCCGAGGAAAGAAGCTCCAGCTCTGCTCACCGCTGCCGTCGAAGAAGCCCAACAATGAAAATATCCCTGCAGCCATCCGGTGTGTGAAGAGCAAATTTCCTAGAGAGCAAATATCAGCGGCGTGCGTTGTTCCAAATGTCGAGCCACGATAGTTTTTCCCATCTCCGCTCGCCTTTTTTCATTAAGGCGGTCCCCCCCCCTCCCGCTCAGCTCTGCCGTTTCCTTTCTCTCCTATGAGAAAGAAACAGCAGAGCAGCGGGTCCTTCTCAGTGGGTTCGAGTGGTGTCACGTCGGCTCAGCGCCTGCGTGCCCTGCCCTCCCCACGTCAGAGGGGTCAGGCTGGATCGGCGTTGCATACAGTGGCGGTTCTCCAAGTGTTTCAATCCAAACTTCTCCGCAGTATGGACGAGTCTGGCCAAGAACACCAGCAGAAAATCGGCAAGACCATGGCCTGCTTGGTGGTCCTAGAGCACCACCTCTGGTTAAACCTCACTGAGATGAGGGACGCGGAGAAGATGGCTTTCCTTGACTCAGCGGTCTCGCCGAAGGGCCTGTTCAGCCCCACTGTGGACGGGTTTGCTGAACGATTTTTGGAGGCTCAAAAGACGTCGCAGGCGCTGCGTCACTTCCTCCCCAAGCACTCTGGCCCCGCGGTTGCGGGCCACCAGAAGAACCCCACCACTCAGCCTGCAAAGCCGACGCAGCCTCAGCCTCAACGAAAATCCAAGCCTGGGCTGCAGCAGCGCCCCCGGACGGTGAAACGCTTCCCCTTCCCAAAGCGTTAAGGTCCCCGCCCTCGAGTCATGCTGGACCACGCGCCGACTAAGCCGTCCTGATGTGCTAGAGAGGAAGAAGAGGGGCTCAGGTTGGTCATCAACCCACACAAGAGTCACCTGTTGCCCAAACAGTGAGGGGTCTTTCTGGGAACAATTTTAGACTTCGTCCAAATGCAGGTATGGATTCACCTGTTTCAAACAGAAATGAGGTTAGGGCTGACTTCCAGAAGGAAGGTAGTCACAACGGATGCTTCCAACTCGGGTTGGGGTGCCCTGTTGAAGGGCAATCCGGCGTTCGGATTCTGGTCAGTCCCGGAACAGCGCCTGCATATCAACTGCCTAGAGATGTTGGTGGTTTTCTTAGCTCTGAAAACCTTCCTACTGGCCTACCGAACCATTCTCTCGAAGTTGGCCAATCGATCGGCAGAAACGACCTGATCGTTAAGTTCTTGAAAGGGGCGCGGTGTCAGACTGTGCCGTCTTGGGACTTATCTATAGTCCTACGGGCCCTACAAGAGCCCCCCTTCAAGCCACTCAGTTCGGCCGATTTGCGGCCCTTATCGCTTAAAAGGCCCTCCTCCTAGCTTTGCCGTCGGTTAAGCGAGAGGTTGACTTGCAAGAGCTGTCAATCAGCGCCTCATGTCTTGAGTTTGGACCTAACGACTGTAAAGTCGTCCTAAAACCAAGACACGGTTATGTTCCTAAAGTGCTCTCAACTCCGTTCAGAAATCAGGTGATCTCCCTATTGGCGCTCCCCGTTACAGATGGTGAACCACAAACCTGCTCTGTCCAGTGAGGTCTCTGAGAGTATATCTAGAACGCTCTAGCCTGTTTAGACGGTCAGAGCAGGTTTTTGTTTGCTTTGGAGGCCACCATAAAGGACTGCCGGCCACAAAGCAGCGACTTTCTTGCTGGATTTTAGATGCAATAGTCTTGGCTTATGCCTCAGAAGGCTTACAATGCCCTATAGGTGTGAGGGCCCATTCCTCAAGGGGGATGGCCTCCTCCTGGGCATGATCTAGTGGAATTTCTATTGGTGAGATTTGTGCGGTCGCCGGCTGGTCGTCGCCATCCACATTTGCTGAACATAAGTTGGTTATATTTGTGCTTCTCAGCTACTAGCTTGGGGCACAATGTGCTCATGTTCTTAG